GTTAGCAACACCCAAAACCTTAATATAATCTACAAATTTACATAATTTATTGACCATTCTTTCATCTATGTCATTGATGTCAATCAAAAAGAGCAAAGGTTCTAAGACTGAGCCCTGAGGTACCCCACTTGTGACATTAATCCAGTTTGACTGAACCCCATTTGTAACAACCCCTGCTTTCTTCCATCCAACCTCTCTTCTATCCAATTTGCTAATTTATCCCCACACCAAATAATATAATTTTCTTTACAAGCCTTTTATATGGCACCTTGTCAAATGCTTTATGAAAATCTGGATACACCAAATCTACACTTTTACCCTCATCTACATAAGTAGTAATCTTTTCAAAGAATGTCAAAGATTTGTAAGGCAAGATTTTCCCTTAGTGAAACCATGTTGACTATCCAACAAAATTCTAAACTTTGTTAAATGACATTTCAAAACATCTTTTAAAAGACTTTCCAAAACTTTTCCCACAACTGATGTAAGACTAATGGATCTATAATTACTGGGGCAATTTTTATCACCTCCCTTGAAAAGAAGAGTTACATTAGCTATCTTCCAATCTTCTGGTATCTGCCCACTATTCAAGGACTGACAAAAAATAGTAGTAAGTGGCTCACATATCCAATCTTTAACCTCCTTCAAAACTCTTGGGGAAATATTATCTGGCCCAGGAGCCTTATTGTTCTTTAAACTTCCCAATATTTTCTGAACCAGCTCAGAATTAATGCACTCATCTCGTTTCCGTTTATCAACTGTTCAAGATGTGGAATACTACTTAAATCTTCGTCAATAAAAACGGAAGAAAAAGAAAAATTTAATAACCCAGCCATCTCATAATCATCAGATACAAGCCTTCCTTTATCATCCCTCAAGGGTCCTACCCCCATCCTAACATTTTGTTTAACCTTAATGTATTTAAAGAAATCCTTACTGTTCATTTTTATATTTTCAGCCAACCTTTTCTCATAGATTCTTTTTGATGTCCTAATTTCCTGTTTCACCAACTTTCTTGATCTTCTATAATTTTCTAAATCTCCTGTCATACCAGTCAATTTAAATTTCTTAAATTTATTATGTTTTCTTTAATTTTATCTCTAAAACTCTTTGTGAACCAACCTTGTTTTTCACTCACAGCTATCCTTTTATTTCTATAAGGAATATGTTTATCTTGAATATTCAAAAAAAAATTACACATCTGATTAGTGTCTCCAAATAATTCACGTATCCAATTCACAATAGATAATTCTTGTTGCATCCCTTCAAACTTTGCAACCAAAATATCATTATTCCTTATCTCCATATGCAGCAAGACACTGATCCTAACAGAGTAATGATCACTTGCGCCCAGATGTTCCCCAGTTTCCACCCTATCAATCATTTCTATATTATATTTGAAGTTAACAATAAAGCTAAAACAGCATTGTTTCTAGTCGGTTCCTTGATTAATTGGTTTGACTCTAGAATTTACCAATCTATATACCTGAAATTAAAATCACCCATAATTATGACTTCATTAACAACTGAAATCTTAATCTCATTGTTAAGTTTCTCACAAATTTCATCAGTATCATTTGGTGGTCTGTGACAAATTCCCACTAAAAGCCTTTTCCTCTGTCATCAAAATCATCTATGTTAAACCACGTTTTAGTTAATCCCATTATATCAAAATCCTCCATTCCTACCAGTGCTCTAAAGTCATCTGTTTTATTTCTTATATTTCTAGCATTACAATAGTAACAATTAAGCCTACCCTTATAACTATTTCTATGCTCATTTCCCATGCTACACTTTTCTCTGCCTCTTATTCTTTTTGCATTTAGTTTTTCCTGGCCCTCACCACTATCTAGTCCTAATTTAAAACATACCTTAAAACTGAGTTAATAGCCTTAGCAAACAGGCCAGCCCCTACACTATTTAAATATAAATCATCCATTCCAAAAATCTTCCTTCTTCCACTGAACTGATCCCACAAGTCCAACCAGCCTATCTGCTCCTCCTTATGTACTAACCTACGCCTAGCATTTAACCCTAGTGACCTACTTATAACTTTATCCCCACAGTTAATTCTGAGCAGTATCCCTGACAAAATTAAATTATGATATTTTTCTTTAAATGCCTTTATCAACCCCTTGAACTTATTAGTTACCTCCTCTGACCTATCTTTCCCTACATCATTAGCCCCTACATGCACCACAAAAACTGAATCTCTCCTAGCCCCCTTTATTAATATCTCCTGCTCTGTCCGTTAGATCCTCCATCTGTGCCCCTGGGTATCATAATCTGATTCTTTTCTCCCTATTTACTCCACAGACTATTCTATCCATATGCCTTGTCAAGGAATCACCTATAACTTTAACCTCCTTATCATCAACTTCCTTCTCTGACACTTTTGTTTTCCTTCCTTCCAATAGTTACTCTTCTATAGAAACCAAGGGCTGAAATTTGTTGCTCAACAGAACAAGGTTCTTTCTGTCCCTTTAAAATTTTATGAAATTTATGAAAACTCAAAACTCAGTCCTTTCTAACATATAAATATGTACTAATTAAATGTGTCAGAAACAAACATCTTTTATAAAGCACTGATTCAGATACAAGGTCATCCAAGAACTGGTTTTTGAAACTCAAAGGATGTCTCCTCCTTGCTGTAAGAACAGATATGACAGGGTTTTCTGAGGAAAGGAGGGATGGAGAGGATTTTAATTGGTGACTGATGTGGCATTAGATACAATCTAGAAATAAAATCCTTCAATATGCAAAAACTCTAAGGGAAGAAGGGCTGAATTTAAAGGGAAGCTTCAACCAACTCCACGGAAAGAAAGCTTCTTACACAGCATTTTTCAGGCAGCAATTTTTGTGGTTTTAATGGTCACTTTTCATTTGAAAGCTTAAGTAAATTATATTTCATACTTTGTTGAAAAGCAACAGAGTAAAACAAACATATATCATACACATAATTCAATAAGCTTACTAAAGATATATTTTCTGTCTTTGAAAAGATAAAAAAAAAAGTAATGTACCTTATGCTAATTTATTGTAAGTTTAAATAAAACAAACTGGCTCAGGGGGGGGTTCAAAAGACTAAAAGAACCTATCACAAAATTTTAGGGGTTTTAGAAAATAGTACTAACACACAAAGAGAAAAGTGATATATTTGGTAAACATTTGTGTGCAGAACTTAAATTAATATTACATGAAATAATGAAGAATTCAACTCCAGATAAGGTCTTATTATATTTATATGTGAAAACCAAACCATGTTTATTGTTCTATGAATTTTACTAACTTAGTGTGGCAACTGGTGAGAGATTGATAAAAGTTGATAAATGCATTTTTTGCATTCCAAAATGGGACAAGAAAGATTAAATGATCTAGAAATAATTTCTATTGAAAATGAAATGGATAGAAAAATCAATATGGATAAATTAAGGAAACATTTTGCCATGTTAAAATCTCATAAAATTCATTTTCTAAAGATATCTTTCCTTTTATATGTAGTTTTCTACTATGTACCATTTTTGTATTTTGTATCCTGAATTTTAAAAAAATATTCAAAATTTTGTAAAGTACACATAAATAAATAAAAATTCAAAAAAGGGTGCAATTTTTTATTTTTGCACCCTTTAATTTTTGAACTTGAGCCAGCACTGTACATAACTCATAATTAAATGTACACTAATTTGGCAACAATGCTGGAAAACACAAAGGAGGGATATGCAGAACTTAATTTGAATAATAAGCATTTACTTGTGTTTTACACACATGAAATTTCTAAATTCTAGGCCTTAAAAATAAGTTACATTCAGATGTCACAAAGCACCAAATTTGTTTAATATAACTAGATTCTGTATTAATATAATTTAAATAAACAGGTTTACAACCAAGGTATTATGTCACTGGTTCCCATATTTTTTAAATATAGATTAGAATGAGTATGAGGTATCACAAATGTTACCAAAATCAGATTATAGTCAACTATGTGCATGCTTTATTGAAATTTTTGTACTTTATGAATAACAAGTAACTTTCAGTGGCAGTGTAAGGACACTGATTATTACAAACATGAGCACCAAAACATTTGTTTTTGGTCTTGAAATTTATTCATATAATTTAAAATGTTAAGTATAAAAAAAAAGTGAACATTCTAGAATATACTTGCATATATTTCTCTAGTTATTTTCATAAATTCAGCTCCCAGAAAGATTTTCTTTTCAAGAATGTATACCTAATTTGTTACAAGAAAAATGTTTGTTCTAGTCTATACAATAACAGCAACACTCAAAGTTTACAGTCATGTTAGTAGAAGAAAACCTGGTATGTTAAAAGCAAACGTTACATTCAAATAAGGGTCACGTTTTACACATTGTTTACATATGTACTTCTGAGAAACATCTACATGTAAGCTTCCTTTAGTTACATCATGTGGCTTGCAACAGATACTCAACACAGTGAACTAAAAGCTGTAGAGCCCCGTTTCCTATTTCCTTAAAACAAAAAAACAGGAAAGAGCAATCAGGAGATCATTACTCATGTCTAAGAAGTATTCTACACTAGCTTGTTATGTGTACATGTACATGTTATTAAATTAATATATTTGCTGCCACTGGATAAGATGTGACCAACTTGTGCTGCAAAACAATTATATTACTGGTGATAAATTTTGAAGTGTACTTCATTTAAAGGAGGAGTGAATGTTTATAACTGGGGAAAAGTCTATTACAGCATAGATTGAGCTGTGAAGCCGAAAAAAAAAGTAAGGTCAGTTTTAGTCATTGTAATTTTACTTCTTTTTTTTTTTTTTTTTACAAAAATAGGTCTCAAATTTTATATGAGCCTCGCAATGTATAGCTTAAAAAAAGTCCATTTTCAGAATTATGTTGGCATAATTAGCGAAAGACATAGTTTACTCATGAATCTAGAGAACTATGACTTGCTGAAATAAATGTCATGTAGTTACAGAGTTGAATCTGTTAATGTATTTAAACATTTCACATGCATCATGGAGGGAAGGCTAGATACAAAATTGAATTTTAAGTATGGGATAATAGAATAATGAAGTTGCAATCACTGCTTTGCTTACATTTGTATTAACAGGTGTAATCTGGGGGGGGGGGGGCATTCATAGTTTTAGCTGTAGTTTACTATCTAATCCAAGAAAATATTTCATCAAAATCAGATCTAGGTTACTACTAAATCACTGAGCATGGAAATCATCAATTTGTAACCACATTCTTCTCACCCATTACACAAAGAAGAAAACTCACCCTTCTGAATAACTTAGATGACTGATTTATATAATCTAAACTCAAACTTCCTCCTCAAAATAAAGTTAAAAGTTGTTTTGTTGCAAGAATATTTAATGTCTAGTGAAAAAAAAATTGTCATTTTTTTTGTTTTTTAACATTACTACTTTTTCATCAGGAGTTTATACTATTGTGTGTGCCTGACTAACCTGATCTAATGTTACATGTAACTTCAAATTGCTTTAAATATCAATTTAAAAATATGCTTCTAAGTAATTAATTTGCTAAAAAAATGCACAAGTAACATTGTTGGGGAATAAAAAGGCTTATTACATTAAGTAACCCTTATTCACATACCTCCAAAGTGAACCACAGTGTTTGGTGATGGTTGGAACTTGTTATGGTTTGATACTGTAAAAGTTGTTTAGAAATAAATTATAAACAGAATTGTTTTATTCAGTTCTTACAATAAGAAGTATTATTAAAACTCAAAATGATTGGTGACATAAACCACAGAATGATTGATGGAGCCCTTATGATCACTGTCATATTTGTAAACACATTTTTCAAATCTATTATGCCTAAAATTGCTTGTGTGTTTATGACTTTTGGTTACAGGGTCACTAAAACATACTAGTCACAGAAAGAATAATTACAGGGTCACTAAAAATATTCACAGCACAAAAAAGATGTAACCAAAAATATTGTTAATGCAACAATAAATGCAGCTAATTATTGCTGATTTTTATGTATTTTACATAACAAATGATTGATTTCACCCAATTGTTTTTGATCAGTCATTCACACTAAGTGGTGTAACAGATAAAAACATAAAATTACGTATGATGATGCAATATACAGAACATACTGGTAGTGGGTGGTATGTAGATAAGTCAGTTACTTAAAAGTTGATAAAAGAAATAGTATTGTGTCAGTAAGTGGCAGAGGCAATCAACTTTATTATCTGCTAAGTAAAATTTCTATTTTGTCAAAATTATAAAGTAAGTGAAATTGTCAAATCTGTATAGATGGTAAACTTTTTTTTATGTTCCATTATTTTAAGCTTTTTTTCATTTTCCTCCATGCATATTTTACGATATCTTGTTCTCAAATAATCAAGAAAGGTTTGAGATCTTGCTACATCAATAGGGAATGCTCCCATCCTTCTAAGCACAAAAGGGCATTACTCAAGTGACAATACAGAGGATTGAGTAGATTATATCAATAATATTTTATTTAATTAAAGCCTCATGACTTCATTACAGCCCATGTTGCTACATCTGGTCATGCTCTATCATAAGGCTTTCATGTCCAAAACACACCACTTTTTTCATGATTTATCTAGGAAAACAGTGTCCTCATTTCAACATTCTAATTGCACAGAAAGCCATAGATGCTGAGGCTGGAAACTTGACTAGTATGAATACTCATTTCGTTCTCCAGCAATGGTTCAATGGAAATTATGACTGGAAGCCTTATTTTGGTGAGCCCATATCCTGTTGGCCTCCTTTCTGTACAAAGCCAGTATTTTTGTATGGTACAAGAAGTCCAGAATATTGGTCTGATAGTAAACAGAGTTCCTCTTGACCTTTGTATCCACTCTACTAATCCTTGGTGCAGTATCATATCAAGTAATGAATTTCTTTGGAAAAAGTTCCTGACACGCTGGTACCACTTTTGGAAATTGTTTCCACTTATTGACAGGTAGAAAATAGCCCAACTTTCAATTTATCAAGGTATATATACACTTTTGTGAGTGTCACCATGTATTGCCATTTTTTTGTATTGCTAGGTATCATTCATACAGTTTTCTACAGTTGGTCTTTTTTTTCTGAATATGTAGTGGAAATGTGTGTACATGTGACTTGTGTCACTTTTCCCAATGGAAAATATTTTGAATTATGTTGCATAATGTTCCCTATGATATGTGTACAGCTTTTGTCACTGACCTTTGTATTCATGGATTCTCACTTGTACTTACCATGAATGGGGTACAACTTGTTTTAGGTCTATTTCTGGATGGTTGTGGTGCACCAAGTTGTTGCATATACTTATGATTTTAGTGTATTAATATGTTGCATCAGGAAAGGCTATTACCTACCTTTCCCAAAAGCAATAAATTTCCTATGGCATCACACTACCTAGGAAATGTCAAACAATGTCAAAATGTAATTCTGATATATGCCTTTCCACAGCTTTATATTGGTTGTGGTTGTCAAATAACTTATTGATTTGCATATTCAATATCATTTTAATATAATATACTCAACCTTCTGAATTGAGAAATGTAAAAGTAGAGAAAAATGTAGGTATACAGAGATAGTAATATTTTTGGATTTCAACTTTTAAAAATGTACACTTCAAATGCATAACTTTACTTCTGGATGAACAAAATTAGGTCTGAATGTTCAAAAATTTGTAGGGTGTAACATTTTCTTGAATGGAAAAGTGAATCTTGTCAAACAGAGAATCTAAGACAGATGAGTCAATAAAATTAAAGACAAAAAAAATGTGAAGATGATAAAATAAAAAAATTAGACTATTGGAGATAATTAAGCTTAAACTGTTTTATTTTTTTAAACATTTCAATCAAATGCCCTTTTCAAACCAGAAACAAGCTTCTAATTAACCAAAACACTTGTTTCAGGCTTGAAAAAAGAGCATTTGCTCAAAATGTCACACACAAAAAAGTATTTTTATGGTGAATTATCTCCAAAAGTATACTTTAAATAAAACTTAATTAGAAGGCTGCAAAAGAAAATATGAAGATATACTTTGGTTTGCATGAATGTTTATTTATGTTATAAACTCAAAGAGTAGAACAACAACAACAAGCTTAGATCCATGCCATTCTAAAAGAAAAACTTACTAATTATCCAGAGCCTAACAAAAGTCAACACAAAGCTTAAAACAGTGAACATCATGACAGATATTAGCATGTAAAGCTTACACAAATGAACACACCTAGAGAAAAAAGTTTTCAGCTCAAGACTTAAACAAGTACACATTACATGTGTTGGGCAGAACAAAAATTATGATGTCAATTAGTTCAACAACAAGTTAACTGAGAAGTTAAAACCCTCAAAAAGAAAGTTGACTGGATAAGAAAACTCAGTATAATAATGAGTGCAGAATGCAAATGTACCGAAACAAGTGTTCAACAGAAAGAGAGCCACAGTTTCTGGATACTACATATTATAGGAAAACACTTTCTTAGTCAACAAATCCTAATAACAAGAATGAGGTACAAAAACAAATAGGACTCTACAATCCCAAATGAACAAGCTAAAACAATATTTTTCATTTAGTTCAACGTGGAGTTCACAACTATCATATAGTAAGAGAGCATACTTTTGTTTGATAAATATGTAAAATACATTTTCTCACCTGTTCACCAACTAATGGTAAAGGTAAGACAGAAATATTAGTTATGAGTAGATTTAAAATAAAAAGATTCATAATATAAAAACTAAAATGCATAATGAAACTAAATTTATGATTACTGAGAAAATAAACAAATTTAAACAGCATGATGAAGCAAACTGGAAAGTACAAAAGCTGAACCTAAAAACAGCAATGAAATTAATGCCTTACAAAATCTTCAGATACTTTGCATGTTTTCAGAAAATCTTTCACAGGGCAACAAAACATTATAATAAAACACAAATGCCAAATCAATGGTAAAAATGTTGCCTAATGTTCTCAGATTTGTTTCTTCTGCACTAGTACACACTATAGGTGCAGCAGGATCTTGAATCTCTCATGATATTTTGAGATTGATAGTTTACGAGACAAGTCGTAAAATGAAAGGAAGGCTTACAAGTAACAATTTACTTAACATCCCAAGTTTGAAATCACATTTGAAATAACTAGTAAGTCTTACTTAAGGCATAATTAGCAATAAATAAGTTGTTTCACTATAATTTTTTTTTTGCAGATAAAGAATACTTTATAAAGACAAAATGATGATAGCAGTCTACATGTTTCTGTTGCTCTGTTCTCTGTTCATGGCTTGCATTCATTGTGATCCTGCACAACTGTGTGGAAATAGGTGTTTATGTTCTTCCACACATGATCAGAAGATAGTTCACACAGCAGTGTGTTCAAAAGATTTTCCAAGCCAGCTAACACACAATATATCAGTTTTAATTATGAAAAACCTTGGTAAAACACTTAATAAAGATGATGTAAATTCTCCAAGTAAATTAACTAAACTTGATCTTAAAGGAAAAATCAAAGAGATCCAGGATCATGCTTTTGACATTGAAAACCTCAAAAACTTATCTGTACTAGATCTAAGTAATAATACGATCCAAAAACTCACATCCAAAACTTTTTCTGGGCTAAACAATCTGAGAGAATTGTATCTAGATAACAACAATGTGAAAGTCATAGAGAATGGAACATTAACCTTCATGGGAAAACTAAATATTCTGTTCCTTAACAGAAACTATCTGACTGATATTCCATATTTGCCAATGAATATTACCAAACTCCAGTTACAGCATAACCATATCAGAACAGTAAATTTTCATGGTCAAAAGCTGTATAACTTAAAGTATCTAGATCTTTCTGGTAATGCCTATGATTCAATAAAGAAGATGGAGTTTCTCCTGGGTAATCACATAGAACAACTTTCCCTTGGGGATCAAATTCTACAAATTGAACCACAAGTATTTCAAGAGACTAAAGAACTGAAAAGATTAGAGCTTGAAGGAAAAGATTCTTTGTTTCCAGAGACTTGGGAAGGAATTTTTCAAATTAATTCACTGGAAACACTGACAATAAAATACATACCACTACCTCCACTAAACCAGCATAATTTTAGCTCCATGTCTCATTTAAAATCCCTTAGACTAATCCACATAAATACTGATGTTCAAATGAAACGAAATGTGTTCAAACAACTGGTACAGCTAGAGGAACTTGATCTTCAGGGAAGCCCAAATATTGCTCAGCATATTATTAATACAAATGTCTTGCTTTCAAGTTTGAGTCATCTTAAAACTCTGATACTTCAATCTGTTGGGATTAAAACATTTAGAAGTAATCAAAGTGAACTACTAAAGAACCTTTCATTTCTCGACATTAGCAATAACAAACTTCAATGCGACTGCCGACTCAAATGGCTGATAAACAAAGTTATCACTGGACAGATGAAGCTAAAGAATCCAAAGCAAACTATTTGTTCAGAGCCAGCATCATACTATGGATACTCTATTTTAGACAGTCGAGTTACCTATACTTTGTGTCCCAAAGATGAGAGCACAGACACTGAAGCTACCAAAATTCCCGATAAAGCTCGTGTTACATTTTATCCTCCTTCAACCTCACCAAACCAGAGTATGAACTCCAAAACCATCATTTACATTCTGATTGCTTTGTCTACAATGGTCGTCATCTTGGCTGTTTTGCTGATAATCATGATTTTCAGAAACTGGCGGCAAAAGTAAAACTTGCAAAATTAGAATTAACATTTATGGTTTTTGAAAATATTAAAACTTGAGTACTTGATTACTGCGAGGAGTTCTTCCTAATCATTAATGTTAAACGTCTTTATATAAATTAAATAAAGACTGTAACCACAAATAATTTGAAATATTTACTTGCTTCTAAATTTATCATAAATATTACATTCCAATTTGAAGTTGTATATATAAATATGTATATATGTATTTTGTACTAAAAAGAATTTTTAGATTACATTTATGTTATCTGAATATCTAGTCTCCTGACTCAATGAGCATAATTCCTACTTGTATGAATTATGTATTAATTGTGCCGTATTAGCAAAAATGTTTAATACTTGAGTCAGTACTATTTAATAAGAAGATTCCCATTTAAATCTCTTAAAAAGTTCACTATTTTTTGTCTCTCTTTTTGCCATTAACATAAGCTTAAAACCCTTTAAATTGAAATGTATATTACACATTAAGAGCCCTTAAAAGTACCACTTAGTATCAGCTGTGGCATTCTCAACTTTTTTAGGTTTCACTGTTGGCTAAATCTAAACCCAGCACTTTTACCTTCATTCTCTACAAAAACAACTTTAACCCTAACTCTATCCATTTCTTGTTCTGCTCCTGATCTGCTATTTTCTTTTTCTGCTAATAGAGCATACTTCTCCAAAATAATATTTCACTTCTTATCATCAAATATGCAAATATATTATATCTTTCTAAGCCTCCTACAAATGAATTCAAGCCTATAATTCACAAATATAACCCAATCTTAGCACCTCTCACACCCTATGAACTCCATTTCACTATTATCCCCTAAATAACTCTATGCATATTGAAGTTTTGCAAGTATTAATTCTCTATTAACAATATTTATAAATTTAATTATATAAAGATATTTGATAAGTAGATTGGATTATTGATAAATCTAACACTAAAATCTTTCTCTTAGTGTTAATTAATAGGGATACTATACAAGTCATGAACTCTGTTAAATCTCCTGTATTGCATAATAATTGCATAGTATGATATTACGCATTATCTACTGTTTGAAAATAACATATTTTATAGAGTTTCTTCTTTGTTGTTTGTACTTGTACACCTTTTTCTAAATTGTGGTAAGTGAAGTATACCTGTTATCTGGAGTTTTTGTATATTTGGTTGTAGAGTGCATTAAGTAAATAATCATTAAAGGTAATTCTCCAAATATAATGACAAGAAAGTAGTTGTATAAAATATGTTGTGATGAATAATGAGAGAACATCATTACTGTATTTCTGGATAACATTCAATGTAATAAAAGAACTGTAACTGACATTTACAGTAAAAAAGTATTTTAAAACTAGAATTAAGACGTGACTGGTAATTTAAAGAAGTAATTCATAATTTTATGTTACTTCCTTACTGAAACAATCAACAAATATACATCAGTTATCAGTGCTTACTAATTTACAGAATCATTACAAAAAAATGCAGAGAGAATGATATATATATGTATATTTATCTATTTCTGGTAAAAATATATCTACATATCTACATGCAGTTTATTAATAAATCAATTATTATTTGATTTAATGATTGTCTCAAAAGTGATAATATTACCCTGAATCAAGCACTAAAATACATTTACTTTAATAAAACTCAATAAAGTAAATAGTGTATGCTGCATATTTTTAACACTACCAAAGTTACCAGTACCATTTCTATGTAACATCTGCCTATTTATACAGATAGATTCAACCTTTACTACACAAGCTCCTGACAATTTTTAAATTTATGTAATACCACCTCTAATTCTTTGAAATATTAAGTGCATGTCTTAGCCTCTTCCATACACAGGATTAACTAATATCAATAATCATTTTGTTTATTTTTCTTTAAGAAGTTCTTAGGTACCAATAACTATCAAAATTTTAGTTCTGTTGTGCAATTGCCAAGTACAGAATATGTACAAGAAAGTTTAATTGGCTCATTTGATACCATAAATATATTCAGTGTCCAGAGCCCATACTAACCTCAACATTTTGATATCTTCTTACTTTAAGTTTTACCAATAAGTTACTGCAAATGTTTGAAAATCTGTAGTCAAGTTGTCTACAACCAAAATAAACAAATCATTACTCCTTAATTCCAACATAAAAATTTGTCCCTGCATAATCCAATCATAAGTAGATGAGACTAAAGGTGTGGATTTGGTATATCTGCATTTTCTAAAAGCATTTGATAAGGTGCCATAAAAAAATGCTTGTTACAAAAATTATCTCTATAGGTGTGGCAATAAGTTGGCTCATTGGACAGAAAATTGGCTGGATGGAATAAAGTGGAGGGATTGTTCTAAATGGAGTTCAGTAAGATTGAATTAATGTCACAAGTGGGGCACTTCAGGGCTCATTAGGACCTTTGCTCTTTTTGATTTACATCAATGACATAGATGAAGGAATGGTTAATAACTTTTTTTTATTTACTGATGATATTAAGGTCGTAGGTGTTGTTGGCTGTGAGAAAGATGCTGCTGCATTACAAAAGGATTTAAATAATTTGGTGAGTTGGGCAAATACATGGCAAATGCCTTTTAATTATAATAAATGCAACATAATGTATATGAATTATCATGATTTAAATTATAAGACTATGTATAATTTTGATGGCAATAACCTTAACAGCTTTGTGAAAAAATAGTATCTTGGTGTTCTGGTTAATCAGTTTCCCAGCCATCCAAGTAGTGTACTACTGCTTGTGGTAGGTCAATAGGATTTCAGGTTAGAACTAGGAGACATAAATATCAATTTTAATAGGGTAATAGCCACCTTTGGTTAAGTTTTATTTTTTCCCAGGATGATTGGGCTTTGAAATGATTTGCCTTCAAATGTGGAAGATGCAGTTAATTTAAGGGAGTTTAATGGAAGGCTCGATAGATATTTAAATAATAAGGGCTGGCTTTCAGTTGTTGTTTTTTTTTGTTTAGTTTAGTGGATAGGATAGCATTGATGGCTGAGCAGGTCCCTTGCCATCTTTAAATTGCATAAAAGAATGAAAAAATAAAGGGACAGGCCACTCAGTCCATTGAGGTTACCTCTCATGATGTATTAATATTAAATGTTCTTTTTAAAAACTGATGGAAATGCATTAAAGTAAATCTGCCCTTCAGCTTATCACAGTCACCTCTTGTAAGATATTTGTACCTATAAAATCAACTGATGGTGAAAATAACAGACAGTAGGATACACAACACTATAGTTAGTACTATATAGTATTAGCATTAATATTACTTCTTAGCCAGTACTGACTGTTATTTTGACTCTGTGCTTTTTGCAATTAAATCCATATAATATGATCAACAGACTCTGCTGTATTTCAGTTGCTAGTTTTAGTTTCACAAAATTCCTTTTTACCAAGTTTTATCTTTTAATGATTTAACTGCAGCGTAACTTGTAAGCGTTTCTTTCTCACTGTGGTTAATTTAGAAATTAGTGTAATCATTGGCCACCCACTACCGAGTACAAAGTCTTAGACTCAAAATCATATTATATTTTCATAATCATATTCTTACTCTAAGTATTTACGTTTTCCAGTTGCAGAATTTGCGCCAAAACTAAAGCATATACTTGATCTACTAATTAAAACTATAATTAAGGAAATTTTTATAATATAGCACACAATCTATAAAAACTCGAAGTTAAGCCCTATTCCTACTCTGTTGTGTACGACTGACCTGTCATCTGACGGTGAATATAAGAAAGTAAAAATTTAGCATTGTATCATCACAAGACCAAAGTTTCTAGACAGACAAACGGTGTTTGAATCTATTGTTGTTGTTATTTTTTCTTCTGTAAACGTAATGACGATATTGATAGCAAGAAAAGAATAGAACAAGCATAATGAATACAATAAAATGAAACTGAAAGTTATCTTTAAAACCTCGTCTTAATATTTTGATAGTTCATTCAGTAAAATATTATCATAAAGTTTATTCCTAACCCAAAGGTATATCCAGGAAAGATAAATGTTCCGGTAACTTTTTAAAATCCGCTATATATATATCTTTTGTTGACAACTGGTTCAAAACTTTTTGTTATGTTTTCAGTTGAAATAGCTATTTTAACATAGTTTATTAATCATTTGAAAGTTCTCCGAAATGGCCTGTTATTTAATAAGCAGCATGAAATATATAAATATATAGAAAGGACAGAAAATTAAAACTAGCATGTAAACTACGATGTAGTAAGAGTGAACACATTTTGTTTTTATGTACGAGGGTTTACGTTTTTGGCTTTGTCGCCTGAAACATGTTTACAATGTATATTGTTGTTGTTTTTAGCGCAAAGCTACACAATCATCTAACCGCGTCCTGTCCACTGCGGGGAATCAAACCCTGGATTTTGGCGTTGTAAGTCCACAAACTTACCGCTGATCCAACGGGGAACTTTAGAATATAAAATAAAGTTTAAACCCACTATTACGAAACAACACCAAATTTATACGGATACAGGTTTCGACACTTTCTCGTGTCCATTTCAGTCCAACGTTTGTTTGTGAGACTGAAGAGGGTAAGTGAATGTGTCGAAACTTTTATCTGTATAAATATGTTTTTTTTCTTTAATAGTGGATTTAAACGTTGTTTTAGATTACTTTACACGGTATTGTGTATTTATCTACTTTAGAATATCATCCAAGGTAAATAAGGTGGAGTTACGTTCTGCCTCCCTTTTTAAGTGTTAACATCTTTATAATTATTGTGTAATTTACATTTTTATAAATTTTTAATTTCAATATTTTATAAGATAGACCTACAAGGGATTACACGCGAACCGACATGATGATAGGCCTGGATTAGGCCAATTAGGCCGCATCTATCTCTCTTTCTCTTCTTCTTCTTCTATATATATATTTTTTTTTTAAGGTAAAGTTTTAGTCTAAATAGATTTATTACTAGCCTACCGAAAAGGAAAACCGAGTTCCATCTAGTATACGCCTATGTCATAAAATCGCAAATTAACATAACTAAGTTTATTATATACATATATATATATATAACATTGCAGGACGTATGAACTCATTTATTTGATTTAATTATTTACTCCCAGAGTATGGGTACTTCCAATTATTTAAAAAAAAGTAGTTTGTGGATATTATATCTGAAAAGTGGAATTGGCAAGGATCTATGTGTATTGGTAGGATTAATGCTCATTGGGTGCGTTGAAAGTAAGTGAGGTATATACTTTAGAAATCTGTTTAGAAAATCAATAAATTCCGCAATCGGTTTTTAACTGTGAAAGACCATTTTTAGACCTTTATTTGTCTCATTGTGCGTAAAGTTTCAGCGTATATTATCCTATATTATAATAGTGGAAAAGATAAAAGAATATAAGTATATAATTTGCCTAGGATTTATCGTTGAAAGCAAACACATTTGCCCGGGAAAATACAAGTTTTAACTGCTGATAATACAATTTGATATTTTGCTACTTGTTCACCAATTTTTTATTGGACCTCAAATGTTGCATATAATTGTTAATTTTATAATAAAGTATGGCAAGTGAAATATATATATGTATTTATAGTTTTCTGACCACTTGCATCCTAAGTAGCACCAAGTTTATATGGTCGATCTTTTGAACGATTTTTAAAATATGGAGGAAGTATTATCGATAGGAAACTTGGAAATTCGCATAATAAATACATAGTGTTAGTTGCTTGCACCTAGTGTGGTGATCTCTGATTGTGTTCTTCAAGCAAGGCAATTGTTTCTTTATTATAAAGCGCCTACAACTTACGTCTATATATAGCTCAACCAAATAAAATCTGGAGGGAATAAATTGAAAGTTTAAACCGCACTCTTCCAACCATTATCAATAGGTTATGTCTTTGAATAAATGACAGAGATATGTTATGCCACATATATATCGGAACCTAGTTTAAAAACAATAAGATAGATCAAGCATCTATATACACTAAGAAACATTTACTATGCTGCGAAAATGTTCTTCATAGATGAATCTTATGCAATATAAATGTGGGGAATGACATAGTTTTTCAAATTCATTTTCTTTAAAACGTCTTAAGGTTCTCTTTAGATTAATTATATATGCATACAAGATGACACTATCTTAACTTTAAATATACAATTCAACAATAAAAGAGAAAATCATAACGTGTAATGTACAATCTCTACCTTACATACAAATCTATGAGTTTATACCCAGTTTACATTTTGCATATCTTAACCTTGGTACTTTATAAGATCAAAAGACCTAACAATTAAAAATCAGAATACATATATATATATAATTTTTGTTTGCTTGTTGCTAAGCGCAAAACTACAAAATGGGCTGGCTAACTGTGCTGCGCCAACCACGGTTATCGAATCATATATCATAAAAAAATTCAAAAACTTTTATCAGTATTGGTAAGAAAAAACTAAAAATTCATTATTTGCTTACAGTTCAAGCTCCTTTTGCTCAGTTGAATAATTAAAAACATAGTTCACATATAAGTGTTTTGTTTATTATTATGGATGTACATAAATATCATAAACGGTATTGGTACACTTCGTATCAAATCAAGTACTTTTATCACATTCGGAGTACTGAGTTTGTGATATACGTATAGATTGAAATACGAAACACTTTATGGATCTGTGCAAGTAGCTCGAAACATCGTTCCAAAAGTTCAAAACATTATCAAAGATTTTCAATATAGTCTTATTTGTCTAAAGCTCCTTTCATGTGAATCAAATTGTCTTTTGATCATCATGACATAAGTTATCTATATTGATAAGGCTGTCGAATTTTTTTTTCCAGTTGAAGAACCAAACAGAAGAATTAAGAGAGTTAATACCTAAGCCTAGGTGAGACGAATCTCCACATCCTTTCTTCTATTACTAATAACATCTTAAACATCTAGAACAAAGAGTCACAGTTTTGTAAATAATTATGTTATAGATCTCTCTCTCTCTACAATAACCGTGCAAGACTTCAACTATGCAAATGCTAGAGCTAAACAAAATAGAATAAAAACCTGGATATATGGTTAAAATTACAGTTTAATAAAGATTACAAACGCTAGAATGAAACAACGGCATACTGACCACCAGAAGTCTCTTTAAATACATACAAAATATTTCAAATAAAATACAATAGTTTATTACTCTAGTAGCATCCTGTTTATCCTAAATTAAATAAAGAAAAACAATCTTTAAACATTATAATTTAAAATATATTAACATTCTGTACATGCTCCTATTCACATAATTTATATGCGTGCGAAGCGTTATTAAAAACTTTATATATGCCTTTAAATTTTTATTGAAAATAATGACCAAATGAACGTTGAAATGAATATTTTTTGTCCGATGTAAAGCACAAAGCTACACAAAGAGCTATCTGTGCTCTGCCCACCACGGGTATCGAAACCCAGTTTATATCGTTGTAAGTTCGCAGACATACCGCTGTGCCACCGAGGGCAAACATGTTATGTTGTTGGAATTTACAAAAAAATATTAAACAAATTTTGATATATGCATTTATTTTGTCACCTCACAAAATTTTTACATTAGATTAACGTCCACGTGTTATAAAAATTTCTGAAAGATAAATATACAAATTGTTATCTTTTTTTTCTAAGCTCCTGACTTGGAATGCTTATTGTTCTTTGGCACCTTGTATATTTTCAGAGACAATATTTTGTGTACTTATGTATGGAAGAGATGGTGAATTCTTAACATTTTCAAATATACAATGGGCGAAGTCAATTTATCTAACATTTGTTAAAAGCTGCGTATGTTCAGTAGTGTGTCTCGTACTCGTTCTCAAGGGGTATACAATGAAAGTGCCTTTAAACAAATTAAAACACAACGACATATCCGCCCTTGAACAAAAATAGTTAAAAGGTGTTTGGATTTTTTATGGAATATTCTCAGATAAAGTATATTTGCCAGTTTTATCGGGAAATAGCTTGCAGTATTAAGAAAATGTTTGGTTTCTGGGAAAGGTAAACAAGGCAGTCACGAACTTAAACACTTGGAACAGGGCGGTATGAGGTTTCCAAGATAAGGAGAATAAATGATACGACTATGGCTCAACGAATGATATTCATAAAGTGACAAATGAAGTATAACTTCTACCGTGTAACATTATTAAGAGCCTTAGAGAATTGACGACCTACCGAAACTAAAATTAACTTCGTTCTTGAGAGTTTAATGAATGAAAGAAGGTAAACGGCTTGACAGAATTTTCTGCTGTTTGTTACATATTCTTTCAATTGGAAGAAGAAAAAAAGCTCATAAGCAACATTAATTGTGTCGTGTAAACGTTTCTACCTGAAGTGGCGCCAATTTTGTCAGTAGATAGAGGGTTCTTTTGTTTTCGGAGCTCAATATATGCTGGCTATGTTTTATGTAAGTCCAATTTAGCCTATATGTATATATACACTTCCGCATGATAAATGGACATTTCGGCGTGCTAGCACGCCTTTTTCTCACTATAGATAACTAGATTACAATTATCTACTTTGTCTTTTACACACCACTAAGGTAATAAATTCTGAAATGTTTATAAACAGCAACATTACATTGTATAAGTCTCCTAATCGTTATTTCAAGCGATGTCATACACAACTT